CACAGATCAAGTTGTGAGCATTGGTTGGGTGGCTGTGCAGCAGGTGTGACTGGAGACAGGGTTGCTGGTGCTCTGTTGGTCATGGGTTAGGATTGCGGCGATAGTCAGTGACATGGGATGGGACTCCAGGCTGACTCGCTCTCCTCTGCAGCTACTGAGCGCCTATCAGAGAAGGAGGCCGAGGACCTGATGGCTTGGATAAGAAACGTGCTGGGGTCTCGAGTCACCAACGTGAAGGTGAGACCTGTGTCCGAGCCGTCGGCCTGTGGGATGTACTCACTGCTGTGTGGACACATGTGCTGCCCCATCCCTGTCCACCATTATCAAGGGAGTGTCGGCCTGTGTGTGTGCTCACTGTGCACTGTGGGGACACGTGCTGCCCTGCCCATGTGTGTGCACAGGCACATGGTGCAGGAGGGCGGGTCTGCCTCCCTGCTTCTATTCTTTTGTCACCCTTAATCATTGTCCAACTCTCTGAAGCATAACGAGTAATTGCAGAGACCATGGCCTGAATTAAGTGCACCCTAGTTTCTAGACTGATGTTGTTGCTTTTGAGCATTATGGAGGGGATCTCTGGTGTTAAAGAGTGTTGATTGTGGAATCGAGCAACCTGTAATTGTTAGCATCAGTCTCTTCTCCATCTGTCATGGTGCTGCCAATTTGCTCAGTGATTACTGCTTTGCTGGGTCCAAAATATGATGCCGTAGCTCACAGACCACACAGAACCATATTGATGAAGTAAAAAACTTCATCAGGTTAGTAGCTTCTGAAAGATAACTCAGCCTTGATCTTGCGGCTTTAGGCCAGCGTTCCAAAGTTCTCAGTCCTACCAATATTGGCTTTCCTCTGCCCTAGTTGTCCACCCAACATAAGCAAAGACTTTTAGCTTAGCTCTGGTTCCTCACGTGGATGGTGGCAGTCCCAAGATAGCTCCATCTCCTGTTCAGCCATGGCTGCTGTCACCACAGATGTAGCTGGAACAAGAATTTCTGGGTCTGAAGGATGTGCTACATTCTCTTCTCTCTTTGCTGACAGGAAAGATCTAGATCTGCTGCTGGAGCTGTTCTATTTATTGGCAAGAGTAGCCCTTATGCATAGACTAACACACTAACATACCCTCTTTGCATATTTCTACCCATTTGCATGGTAAAGTCAAGTTCAGTGGCTAGGAAAGCCATTTTGAGTAATAAACTCCACAGTTCCCAACAGTGCCACGTGGAAATACTATGGCAGTGACACAGGAACTGTGTCCCTCCTTTTAGGGAGTGGTTTAGAGGGGACGCTAAGTATTCCCATTGTGTGTTCTTGGTGAGTCACAGTGGGTTGAGGACCACACCTCCTTGTCTTCCTCACCCACAGGTGACCTTCCGTCTGGACACCCACCCAGCTATGATCACTGTGTTGGAGATGGGTGCCGCCCGGCACTTCCTGCGCATGCAGCAGCTGGCCAAGACCCACGAGGAGCGTGCTCAGATCCTGCAGCCAACCCTGGAGATCAACCCACGGTGAGAGGTCTCTCAGGTGCTAGAGGACCTGCACCCATGCTGGTCAGCCCTGGCAAGCATTGGGCTAGGCGTGCAGGCATTCTCATGTCCCATCTGGCTGGGAGTCCATGGAAGTTAGTGTGAGCATCTTCTCTTAGGACATGTGAAACTTTAAAACAGTGTGTAAAACTTCTGTGTGAGTTGACGAGTGTTTTTGGAATGATCGTGCTGTGGTATTAACTTGATTGTCATGGCTGAGAAGCTCAGCACTGCTGCCTACAGGGTGCTTCTGCTAGGAGTTAGCACTTCAGTTCTGTAATCTGGGCAACTTCCTGTTCTGCCATTAGGTGCCACTTCCCTTGGTAATGACTGGAGTAAGAGAGAGCACTTTGTGTGAGTGTGTGTATGCATGACTGCATGTATATATGGGTGTGAGAATGCATATGTATGTGTGTGTGTATATGGATATGTATGTGTATATATGAGCTTGGTTTTGAGAGTGAGTGTATAGATAGAATGAATGAGTATATATGAGAAAGTATGTATTTAGAATGAATGAGTATATATGAGAAAGTATGTATTTAGAATGAATGAGTATATATGAGAAAGTATGTATTTGTGTATATATATAAATATGTGTGTGAGCATGAGTTTGAGAGTGTGTGAGTATATGAGTGTATGTTTGAGTATATACACATATGTGAATGTGTATGAGTATATATGTTGTTGATTGCTGTTGAGTCGAGCACGACTCATAGCGGTCCTATGAACAAAAGCCTGAAGCCTATCTATAATTATCATCATTTATCAGAGGCATGTTGTTTAAGAAGTAGATGCCACTCCTGTTTCCAAGAGTGTGTATATGAGCGAGTGTATGTGAACGAGTGTGTGTGTGTTTGTGAGTATAGATACATGTAATGTTTGAGGGTGTGTATGTGTGTGAACACGTGTGTATGTATTTGAGAGCATGTATGTGATTACATACGTGAGTGTATGAGTATGTGAGTATATGAAATGTCTATGTATGTGCATGTGTGTGCATTTGAGAGCATGCGCTTATGTGAGTATATGAGAGTGAGTATGTGTGTGAGAATGTCTTTGTGAGTGTGTCCCCCTCCTGAAGCCTTGTTGTTCTCTGTGTAGGTTGTCTGTCTGAGCTGAGTAACTTGCCTCCTTGGGTCACTCATTCACTACAGTAGCCATTTGGGGCTATGGGAAGGAGGCTGCCAGGTGGCCTGTGTCTGGAACCCAGATGAGGAGGTTTCCCACTCTGTTTCACCTACTGGAAACTCTGTGGTGGGTTGTTGTTCGGTGACATCGAGTTGACCATGACTCTGTGAACAACAACCTTACCCTATCATACGCCATCTTTACCATCTCTGATATGTCAGCCACTGTGTCAGTTCTCCTTTTTTGGAGTTGTCCTCTCCTTTCTCTGACCCTCCACCTTTCCCAGCATGATGTCTTTCTCCAATGACAGGGTTTCTCTTGACAACCCGCCCAGATAAAGGTTCACCATCTTGACCTCTAAGAGCACTCTGGTTATGCTTCTTCCAAGACAGACTTGTTTGTTTTTTTGGCAACACATGGGATATTCAGTGCTCTTCCCCAACACCATAGTTCAAAGGCATTGTTCTTTTTTTTTTTTTTTTTTTTCTTTCAAAGGCATTGTTCTCATCCCTATTGACTGTCAACTTTCAGATGCACAGGAAGAAAAGACCATCCCTTGGACCAGGTGCACTTTAGTCTTTAAACTGACATTCTTGCTCGTTAGAACTTTGGGGAGGTTGTTGGCAGCATATTTTCCCAGTATTTTGATTTCTTGACTGCTTGTACCATGGGTGTTGATTGTGGATTCAAGTAAAATGGAATCATTGACAACTCCAGTCTTTTCTCCATGTATTATGGCATTGCCTATCAGTCCAGTGGTGAGGATTTTTGTTTTCTTGATGTTGAGATGTAACCTTTAGTGAAGGCTGCACTGTTTGATCTTCCTCTTCACTTCAGCAAGCTAGGTTTTGTTAGCTGCATAACACAGCTTCTCAATTGATTTGCTCGGTGTACAGATGGGACAGGTGAGGAGGAAGGATACAGCCCTGACGCACACCTCTCCTGACTGGTTGAATTTTGTTTGGGTTTTGAAAGAAGCAGCTTTCAGCCTTTTCAGTGATTCAAAGGCTGCATGTATAGTGGTTGAGGAGGATCATGCTGGAGACTCAAAACCCATTGCTATTAAGTCAGAACCAATCGATTGCTGACCGTCCAGTGTTTTCTGAGGCTCTTAATCAACACAGGAGGAGATTGCCCATCTTTGTCCTGTGGAGTTGTGGGTGGATTTGAACTACCAGAGAGAAATAGCCTTAAGGTTAGCAGCACCACCCTCTGGGGACAGCACTACCAGAGCTCCCCTATAGGGAAGCAGTTGTTGCACATAGGGGGGGTTCAGTCATTTCAGATTGAGGGCAAGCTACGTCACATTGAAGAGTATTTGTGCTGGCCAGGAACACTAAATAAACCAGCGACAGGTGTGTTCCAGAGGAAGTGCAGCCAGCATGCTCCTATGGGATGAAGATGGCAAGACTCATCTCCTGTTCTGGACAGCTTGTCAGGAAGGTTGGGCTATGGACAAGGAAGATGTTATTCCTCTGTGGTGTGACATTATACAACTGATCTTTGTTCCGTGTGGAATTTATTTAAGGAATGAGGTAGGATCTGGCTTAACTGCTTTCTGGATGATTGGCCAGAAAGTAGAGGGTCAGCATGAGTGAGGAGTCCCTGCAAGAAGAGGGAGTGATGGCAGCAAGGGATGGAGCACAGCAGACTGAGGTTGGCCCCGGACCAGGGTTCCCTTTGCTGAGTGTGTCAGAGCTGACCCCAGGACGGGGCTTCTTTAACTATGTGTGGTCACTGCTGTGTGTGTCAGAGCCGACCCAGGGCAGGGCTCCTTCTGCTTTGTATGTGTCAAAGCTGACCCCAGGACAGGGCTTCTACTGCCTTGTGTAGTCACTGCTATGTGTGTCAGAGCTAATCCCAGACCAAGGTTCCTTCTGCATGTGCTCACTACTGTGTGCGTCAGAGCTGACCCCAGGACAACAACAAAGGACAGTAGCACTTTAATCTAGGCACCTGTGTTGAGTAAAATGAGCATTCTCTGTGTTTTCGAGGCTGTCTTGGCTACTTCTGATGAAGTTCAAGTGTGTAAACTGAGTCTCCACTACTGGGCCCCATTGGAGATGGTGCTGGCACTTCATTCTGGTCTGGGAGCCTCTATGTCCTTCAGCTCTGATGGGTTCTTTTCAGAGCATGTGTGTTCTGTGCTTTGTGGCTCACCACTCAGACACTGGACATTTCATGTATTAATTGCTAATTATTAACAAAAGCAGATTTCATTGTATAAATTAGTTTTTAAATCTGCACTGAGTTCTTAAAATGAAGTGATGTGCACAGCCCAAGCCAGCACAGTAGCTGAGGGAAAAGGGAAAACCATGGAGCCCAAGCCAGCACAGTAGCTGGTGGAGCAGGGGAAAGCCATGTTAGGCAGAGCTCTGTTTTCCCCATTCCTTCTCTGCATTTGGGGCCCTGAGTGGGAATGAGACTGCCCCCTCTCTCGTCTAGAAACCTTAGAAAATAGCAACAAAAGGCTGCCCCTACCATCATTGCAGTTGGCCATCTACCTCTCCTTGTTCCTGTCATGCTGTCATGTGTCCTGTGCTTTCTCCCATCCTTCCTCATCCTTCTGCGGCACAGAGAGGTTTATGGCCAGTGATGCAGAAAGCAGTGGCCTTCTGGAAGACTTGGGGCGGCATGTGATCATGGGCCAGGTGGGGCTCTGCCCCGAGGCAGGTGCCCAAGGCTGTTGATCATCCCCTTTACTCAGAAATTTTCTTTTCATTCTGCTTTGGAAGGGAGCCTGGCGTTCAGAAGAACCAGTGAGTTCACAGTAAAAGTCCCTGTCCTCATCCCCACGCCTCTCCAGAGACACTGTATGGTTTCCCTCATGGCGGGACTGCTGTACACCCTGAGCACAGTTACACTGTCTGTGCTGTTATGGACATTCCCCCATCTGTGCCGTGTGGGGGGCGGTCCCTTGTCCTTGCCATACCCTGTCCATGCCGTGTGGGCATAGTCCCCCATCTGTGTGCCTTGTGGGAACAGTTGGTCTGTCCATTCTGTTTGAGGACGGTCAGCCCTTCCTTGGCCATGTGGGCCCCAGCACCATCCATGTCAAATTCTCAGCTTATCATATTAAACAACATGATGTTTTCTTTTGTAGACAATTTTTAATTTTGATCTAGTCTAAGTTTACCCTTCCTGCTTCTGGTATTGTATTTTGCTTTGGGGGCTTTCCTTTTCCCTTTGTGGTGTGACCTTTTACAACTGATCTTTGTTCTATGTGGGTTGTATTGAAAGTCTCCTCTCTGTGACTGGCCAGGCCCCACCTCTGAGAAAGGTGTCCTCATTGCCCACAAGCCATGGCTATGTTGCATTGTCTTTCTGCTCTGAGTGTTCTGCCTTTTCTCTCCCAGAACTAAACCGCTCCAAAGGCTGAGATTCCCTCCTCCCCTTCTCATTAGTTTGGTTAGATTTAAAGACAATCTTTTCATTCCAAGGACTCATGGATTAATTCATCTAGGGAAGTTTTACCCCTTTTTTGTCTTGGTGTGGATTAATTTCTTACCAGGCCATCTCAGCGTAGAGATTTTTGCAGGACTTTGAGGGGGCCTCTAAGTGACTGTGGCTGCCTCTTTTCTAGTCTAGGCACAATCTATCTTTCTGTCCTGGATAGTCCTGGTACACTGAGAGTGCTCCAATATCCCCTCAGAAGGCTGAGCCACAGGTCCCCATGCTGGCAGGCAGGCTTCTGACTACTCTGTGGACAGACCCCCCCCCCCCCCGTGGGTCACTCTGTGGTCAGATCTCCAACCCATGGGTCCGAATCACTGTGGGCAGAACCCCACCTATGGTTCCAGGTCTCTGGGCAGACCCCATCTGTGGTTCCAAGTCTCTTTGGGCAGGCTCCCAGTCCTGACTCTCTGGTCTCTCTCTGGACAGTGTCCCATGTGTGGTTCAGACCCCTACTGTAATTTGACACTCCCCAGGTTCTGACTCTTTTTATGCAGGGGGCTCCCATTGCCCCAGTTCACCCCTGGTGTTGACTCTATGTAGGCCCCCCCGGCTAACCCCTGGTGCTGACTATGTGGGTCCCCTCATCTCACCCCTAGTGCTCACTCTATGCAGGTCCCCTCCTCTCACCCCTGCTGACTATACAGGCCCCCTTGTCTCACCCCTGCTGACTCTATGCAGGCCCCCTTGTCTCACCCCTGCTGACTATACAGGCCCCCTTGTCTCACCCCTGTCGCTTCTTACTCTGTTACAGGCACGCACTGATCAAGAAGCTCAGCCAACTAAGAGAGCGAGAACCCGAGCTGGCCCAGCTGCTGGTGGACCAGGTGAGAGCTCTGAGCAAGTTCAGTTCCCTCCTGTTCCTTCTCAGAATTTGAGGCCCTGAATGCAAACGGGGACTGCTCTGCTCTTTTCCAGATCTATGAGAATGCTATGATTACAGCAGGGCTGGTGGATGATCCCCGGCCCATGGTGGGTCGCCTCACTCAGCTGCTGACTAGAGCCCTGGAGAAGCACTGAGCACCCAGTGAGCTGACACACAGACGTGAACACTCGAGAAGATTAGGTTTCTTTACCTCTATTAAAGATATTTTTCCATTTAAGAGTCCTGTTTTTGTCGAGGCTCTGAGAGAGGGGACAGCTGTGGTATCTTCCTGTCACAGGGGGCCTCTTACACATGGTCACCATGTCAGGCTTACTTCAACGTCACTTCCACAGGATAGTGGTCACTGATGGCTTCCGCCTTAGAGGGAGATGTGTGGTAAGTATGGGCTGTGTGGCTCTACCCAGTCAGTGGCCCCAAGTAACATCTGGCCAGTCCGTAAAGGCAAGAAACGTACCAACTGGTTGCTCAATCCATATGCAGCCTGAAAGTCAAAGGGACTGGCTGAATTTGGCACGATGCTGTCTTGGAGGGTTGTTCCAGCTACCACGATCCTGCAACACCATGGGACAGATACTGGTCATTTCCTGGGAAACAGTAGTGTCCCTTGACCCACACCTAACTGCAGCAAGCTGATCCAGAGGACAGTACCCTCTCTGCTCTTGCCTCTTCCCCACAGAGATGTGTGGGCCAGCTGCAGCTTTGGAGGTCCTAAAAGCCAAGTGCACCTTAGGATCACCAGAGGAGTAGAGTGGAGCATCTCATCTGGATGAGTTTCTATCTCATCATCTCTTAAATATGCTTTCACAGGAACAGCTAAGGTTTATATTGTTTCTTAAGTGGATAGCTCAGGGGTGAAGTCTTGACCAAGCCCTCAGAAGACCAAGAGAGTGCATACAGAAAAAGAAGCTGGAGGAAACACCATTGTTCAGGTGCTGTTGTAAGTAGTAAGTGACAAAGTATTTAATTTAACCAAGAAGCTGGAAGAGCTTTCCACAGAAGGCAAAGCCATTGCAGTAAGAAACAAAAAAAGATTTCTATGTTTACCCAAATCACAATTTAAAAAATTGAAGATCTAAATACACATAAAGGCATGGTGTATTCATGAACTACAACATAATGTAATGTTAAAAACATAATAGAATGCTACCCAGTGTAACACAGGGCTCACCAAGAGAACGCTCTACACTTCATTTTGGTGAGTGGTGATGTACAGGCTTGTGAACGGCTCTCTGGGGTGCAGCCACAAGCCTCTCCCTGGCTGGAGCATAGAGCAATGAAGAAAATCAAAGATGCCTGGGAACAGTCCACAGAGACCTCAAAAACCTCAGCCCTGAGACCAGAAGAATAGATGGTGCTTGCTACCACAACTCTGTAATGGATCAAGTGGAGGGTGATGGATAGAGGGGGAGATAAATGTGGAACAGAACTTGACACCACAGTAGTGCCCAGGCTTACTGTCTGGTGGGCTGATGGAACCCAGATTGTGGCCCTTAGCTGCTCTTTGAACTTGAAATTGAACTCATCCTGCGGTCAGACTTTCAGCCAAATAGCAGCCAGATTGAAGGACTGAGTACTTCCCTGGTGGTATTGTTGGCCTTAAAGAGGAATCGGCCATCTGATCAGAAGAGCAGCATTGGCCCACTGACAGAGCTCAGAGGGCAGGAAAGAAGAAGGTAGAACCACTGAGAATGGAAGCATGGAGCCAGGAACCATGGGAAGAGTCTGTTGGAATGTGGAGATTGTAATTGGTGTCATAAAACAAAATGTCTGATTGGTTGCATTAAATACATACTACCTGACACAATCTACATTCTTTGCTATCTCCATCAAAATCCCAGCAACCTTCTTCACAGATATAGAAAAGCCAGTCCTCAAGTTTGAATGGAATTGCAGAGAACCTCAAAAGGATAAAGAAATCTTGCAGAAGGATGAAGCAGGACTCATACTTCCTCATTTCAAAACACAAGCCACAGCAATTAAAATATCCCTGTACTGAGGATAACAGACCAGTGGACCAAAATGAGAGTGCAGAAATAAATCCAGACATCTGTGTGAGTCGATCCATTCAGTGCAGAGGGCAGGTCTCTAATGGTGCTGGGGAAATTAGATTCTCACCTGCAGGAGCATAAACCTGGATCCTGACTTCAGCCTATACACAGACCAGTGAAACAGAACAAATGCGAAAATGAGCAGACAGCTTTTAGACTCTAGAAACATGCCTGATGGGCCAGTGGGCTTACTTAGTTTTTAAAATGATGGATTATCCCTAAAGACATCAAAAGCCTGAGCAGCAGAAGGCAAAATAGATAAGTGAGCTTCATGAAAATTAAGTAATATTGTTTATCAAAGGACTTTATAAAAAAAGTGAGAAAACCATCTATACCCTGGGAGCAAGTGTTGGGGAACCATATACCAGTTAAGGGTCTAACGTTTGTATTGAAACACCATTTGCAACTCAGTTGAAAAATGGACAGAAGACTTGAGCAGAATTTCACCAGAGCATTCAGATGACCAAAAAGCACATGAAAAGGTAATGAGCACTATTAGCTATTAGAAATGCTAATCAAAACGACAATGAGATAGCACCTTATTAAAATTACACTAATTAAAAAAAGAAAAGGAAAAACTTAAACAGGTATTGGTAAGGTTGTGGACAAACAGGAATGCCCACAGCTGGTGGGTGTATAAGATGTGGAACCACTGGAAAATAGTTTGGCAGTTCCTCAGAAAGTTGAAGATAGAATCCCTTATGATCCCATAGTCCCTCCTAGTTGCCCTTCAGAATACAGACAGGCCTGTGCACCTGTGCCTATGGCAACAAGTAATCTGAGCCGAAATGTCCATCAGCAGATGAAAGGATGCCCAAGATGTGGCCTGTAAACACGGGGGGAGTACTGTTCAGACCTAAAAAAAAACCACTGGGTTTGGCCACAATATGCATGAACCTTGAAACTTCATGCCAAGCACCGTTAAGTCCATTACTGAAGTCTCACACAGAAAGCAGGGCTGCTGGAGAGAACAGCGAGGTGGCAGAAGGGCAGGGGTCACCCTTGGGGGCTGAGGATTTACACTCAGGTTTATTATGTCCACAGTGGTGGGATGATCTGGAGGACAGCACGGTGGTGGGAGGGCGAGGTCACCATCGGGGGCCTGGGTTCACGCTCAGGTTTGTTATGTTCAGTGGTGGAATGATCTGGAGGACAGTGATGTGGTGTGTGTGATGTATGTGTCATTGTTCTGTGGTCTCAAATAGGATTGAGACTGGAGCTGCCCTCGGGTGGCTCACCTGTCGTAAGGGCAGTGTGTGGACTTGACGGTGGTGTCAGCTGAGTCAGGAATCAACCACTGGAAGGTAGGGCTTGTGCGAAGGCGGATGGATGCCCACTGGGAGGCACTCACATAGCTGCAGCCAGCATTGAAGTCACCCATGAGTATGATGTCCTGCTGAGCAATCACTTGTCAGCCCAGGGAGTGGGTGGTTGTCCCAGGGACTTGTCAACCTGAAGACTTGTCAACCCGGGGACCTGGCACACAAGCAATCGGCCCAGGAACCTATTGGTGGGAGTCTGTTGGCCTGGGGAGTGGAGAGTCTGCCTGGAGAGTGAGTGGGTGGTCAAGGAGTAGGCATTAAACCTGGAGAGATGGTGGGTGGGCAGTCCAGGAAGTAGCCTCACTTACCTCTAGCCCCCACCTCTTCTGCACATCCTGGTAGACATCATAGAGCGCATCTATCTCCGCCACCGCATCCATCGGGGCAGAGTGCAGGGGAATGATGGCAAACTCCCTGACCTCTGAGGAGAGACAGGCTGGCTAAGAGCACAGGGCGAGCCTCACCACCACCACCAGCAGCTGCAGGGACCAGGATGGAGGACAATAGTCTCTGGGGTGCAGACTGCACAGCGGGGGAGACATGCTGGACAGGACCATGCACTCACGTGTGAAGGGTGAGCCGAACTTAACCACCACAGGCTCCCGGGCAAAAGTGTCATTGCCACAGGGCTCACAGCCATCATCATAGTGGTAGCTGTCCAGCACGGACACCAAGTCAGGCCTGTGGATACCAGGAGGGTTACCTTAGTGGGCCATCTGGGTGAAGGTGAGGGTGGGGGTGACCTGCCCTGCCTGTCCCACCTGAACAGGAAGAGGTAGCGCTCCTTGTAGGTACTGCGTCCCAGTGGCTCGCTCACCACAAAGTGGAAGGTGTCTGGTGAGTGCCTGGAGATAAGAGAAGGGCATCCCAGTCTGGGCCCTGAAGATCCCCGCACCCCCTGCCTCCCAGCATCATGCCTCCAAGACCCTGTGCTTGTGGCTTCTGAAGGAGGCTGAACCTCTGCAGTTCCTCTCCCAGACACTGGTCACTCACTTGTTGAGATTATCCAGTAGCTTCCCCACGGCTGTCAGGTGGCTATCCCTGACCTCTTGCACCAGGGCAATGTCATAGCGACTCAGGATCTGGGGAAGGGGATGTCATTGCACAGGAGGGCCCCCAGACTCCACAGAGTGTCAGCTTGTGCTGACCAGAGCCCTGCTCTGTCCTGTGAGTGTTAGGGCCGAATGTCTGGCTCACCCCCAGGATCTGGTTCCCAGTGGCCACATGACGAGCTCAGCCACCCCCTCCTCACCTGCACGATGTAATGGGAGAGGGTGGTGTTGGACATCTTGGCCTCCCCAAACGTCTGGATGTTGAAGGAAACAATTCTCAGGGACAGGGCCACCTGCAGCACACTGGCCAAGACAAGCAGTGCCCCTGTCAACCTCAGGGCCTTCATTCTGCTGGAGGTGGAATTCCTGGGGGTCCTGACACCAGAGACACAGGACTCAGGCACCCTCATTAAGTCAGTACAATGTATGTGCTGGCTATCAGAGGCCCTCAGACCTGCCCAGCACGAGGATGGCCATCCTAGGGCCCCAGCTTAGCACTGCAGGCTAACAGCAGCCCCAAGCCCCACTCACCAGAGATCCAGCACTCAGATGATAATCGGCTGAGGACGTGGCGTTCTGAGGTCCCAGCATTTCTGCTGCCACCAAGCTTTTAAGGACAAGCGGGTTGTGACCTCAGGGTGTGGCTGTGACCCCTGGAGCGTGACTGTGGTCTCACCTTGGTCACCTAGAACAAGGACACTGCTGTGTGTCAGCGCCCTGGGAGGGGAGGTGCTGGCAGGTGTCCCTCCAGAGGTGACTTCTAGCTGCTGTGAAAACAGCACCTGGATCTCTCCTGATGGCGGCTGGCCAGGCTCGGGCACCTTGCCCTTCACACGTGTGCACTCTCCCACACCCCAGGAGGGCCCAGCTGGAGCCCTGGGATGTTTGGGGATCTCCCACCTGCCCAGGTATAAGGGAGAGGTGGTGGGCTCTGAGCACGTGTGTATGAAGTAGCATTGGGCAAGCACCTCCTGGAGTGGACAGACTGGTGCCTGCTCACAACAGGCCGAGAAGACCACATCAGCCCTGCCCAGCTGACTCTGGAACCCCTGGCTCCCCACTGTCCCCAGTACAGACCCACAGGATATCCTCTGTGTTCCCAAAGCTCTGGAGGCGGAAATCCAGAATGGGGGTAGGGGTGTATGTGAGTAAGGCTGTGCCTTCTAAAGGTTGCAGGGAGTCTGGCCTCCTCTCAGTATCATCCTGCCCTGTTAGTCCCTCGTGGACACTCATCACTGGGCTGGACCCAGGGTCTCTGCATGGTCCAGACACCTGTAGGGACATCAGCAGAGAAGTTTGCCCTTACATGCTGCCACATTCTCAGGTTCCACAGAGGATCTCGGGCTCTTCTGAGGCGCTATGGCTCACCAGCCACCCCCACCCCCCAGCCTTATGTTGTGGGCTGAGGTGCAATCTATGAGAGGAGATCAGGGAGTGAGCAAGACCTCAGACCAAGGTCATCCAAGAAAAACTAGGAAATGGAAAGAATTCGGTCCTGAGTGACGAACTTGCCCACAGGCAGCCTGCAGTACATTGTGGTGTGTGGTCTATTCATCACTGACCCCATTGGTTTCTGTGCAGTGGGGTCACAGGCCCCTTCCAACAACTCCATCACAAACTTCTGGTTCTTCATCCCCCAGGGTGGAGACTGGGGTGACCCAGCTATGTCAAAGTCCAGACTCCATAGGACACCCAGACTCTCCAGGGGCCTCAACCTCTAGGCAGTTTGCTGTCCTTCACACAGAAGGAGTGCTGCTTCCACCCTCCATTGCCAGTGGATGGTGGTCAGCTGTTGGATCCCTGCCAGTAGATGGCATTCAACTGGACCCTTTTGGTTGATGGCTCTTAACAGAGGGGTGACCCTCTGCCGGTGGGCAGCGTTCAGCTGGGTGGGGGGGACCCTCTGCCAGTGGGCGGCGTTCAGCTGGGTTAGAAAGAAGCCTCTGTTTCCCTCCTTCTGGGATCCCCATCTCTGTCTCCTTCACGCCTGAGCCGGTTCCCAGGGAGGGCAGGCTTATCTTGGTGCTGCGGCCATGCTGGGCCCGTCGGCCTTCCAGAAAGGGGTGATGCCTCCCTGTGGCCCCCAGAAGACTTGTCCTACCTCTCCACAGGTGTCATTCCGTCTCTCACCTGACCCTCCTGCACTTCATGTTCTCTGTCATGGCCAGCTGCTGCCATTAACTGTAGCTACTGAGAAGGGCCAGTAGGCATCTGACTCGGCCGAGGCTTCCAGAGACCACAGCTCAAGACATTTGGCTATGGCTGTGACACCTGCCCACCACTCCACTGGCCTCGGGGCCACAGGGCTGAGCTGGTGTGGACAGAGAAGCAATGCATGGATCAGGGAGAGGGAGGAGCTTTCCAGACTATTGTTGGTATGGGGCCCAGTCCTGCACTATATTTATGTTGCTAGCCAGCCCAGTCCACATGTGCAGCTGATGAGTGCTTTGAGCACTGTCCAATCCAGAGAGCTCTGGTGTTTGAAGCAATAGGGCTACATTCTAACCTAAACAGTGTGGGTCACCTATAGTCGGTTCCAGATTTTTAGTTTCCAGCCTGCTCACTTGCCAGTACTCTGGGATAGTGTCCTAACTTGACCCCTAGGGTCTCATTGCCTGATTTACAAGTTGATCACCAGATCTGTCGGACTAGTTGACCTCAGTCCACAGGCTCTGCTGAATCCTGGCATTGGTGGCTGCTGGTCTTTGAAATCCACACGGCACAGCTTCCAACATCACAGGCTTGCAAGTCACAGGCACAATCAGACCTGGAGGAGGGGTCGGTGGTGGGTGCATAGTTCAGGTGCACTCTGTGAACAATGTGGATGTAAAGCCTGTCTCTGGGGGAGCCTGGGGCCCAACTGGCTGGGGGTGGGTTGTGGTGGAGGACAGCAAGACAGGAAGGAGAAGTCTAGCACTTTCCAAGGTCAAGTCAACAGGAAAATGGGCATTGGCTAATAGGCAGGAAGGCTTCATGCTCTGACCTAGAGGCAGTTTTCAAGTTGGCCATGGGGATGTGCCAGCAGCCTCTGTTAATGGATAAACTCCCTCTTGCACCAGACCAGACTGGACTTCTGAAGGAGCCATGGATGCTCAGAGCTTACATGGATACTCAGAGCTATGGCCACAGGCCACAGAGCTGGTGCATGTGGGATGACACCCTGGCAGACCATCACAGACCACAGGGAGAGGGTCACAACTGTACTTCCCAAACTGGGCACCATGGCACCCTGTGTCCCACCCATGAATGAGTATTCATGGGTGCCACCAGCCTGGGAACCATGTGAGGCCCACCATCCTACTAGGATTTGACTGTCCTCTTAAGACAAATTTATTTCCTTTCAGTTTATGTGGGCTATTTGTGACTGTAATATGGTTTTTCCATCCATTCATTTGTTGACAGTCAGTTGGGCTTCCATCTCTGTACTATTGTGAATAATGCAGCAATAAACATGAGTGTGTATACATCTGTTTGCATCACAGCTCTGGTTTCTTTAGGGTATGTTCCTAGTAGTGGAATTGCTGGGTTGAATGGTTTTTCCATTTCCAAAGTTTTGAGAAAGTACTAGACCACCTTCCGTGGTGGTTGTTCCAGTTTACATTCTCACCAGTGGTGACTAAGAATTCCAATTTCTCCACATCATTATCAGATTTTGTTGTTTCCTACCCTATTGAATTTCATTATTGTTGCTGGGGTGAGATGATATCTCATTGTTTATATTTGCATCTCTCTAGTAACTAGGGATTTAGAACATTTCTTCGTGTGCATGTGTGCCATCTGAATGTTGTCTTTGGTGAAGTGTCTATTCATTTCCTGTGCCCGTTTTGTGATTTCTTTTTCTTCTTGAGGCGCTGAAGTATTCCATAAATTTTAGATAAGAGTACTATATCAGATATGTAATTGCAAAATATTTTCTCCAATCTATGGCTTTCTTTTTAACCTGTTGGATAAGTTTTTTGATGTGCATAGGGATTTGATTTTTAGACAGTCTCATTCATCTGCCTTATTTACTCCTAGTCCTAGGTTTTTCATTATGTTTGGAAGTTTGTTCATGCACTAGATTAGGGCTTTTAGTTTTCTCTGATGAATTTTATAGTCTTTGGATTTACTCTTATGTCCCTGGCCCACCTTGAGTGGGGTTTTGTGTATGCTGTGAGACGTGGGTCTTGCTTCAGTTTTCTGCAGATGGTGTCCAATTTTGCCAGCATTATTTGTTAAGGAGGCTATTTTTTCCACTTAACTGTTTCCCTATCAAAAATTATAGGTAGATGATTTCATAGACCATAGGTAAAAGAATTTGTTTCTGGGTTCTTGATTTTATTCCATAGATATATGTATCTGTTGCTGCACAGTACCATGCTGCCTTGACTACTGTGGCTGTGTAAGTAGGACTTGAGATCAGTGAGTGTGATGCTTCCTATCTTTCTTCTCTTTTTGAGCAGTGCTTTGCTTATTTGAGATTTTTTTCCATTCCAGATAAAATTGTAAATTACATTTTCCATCTTGCTGGAGAAAGGAATTAGTATCTGTATTGGGATTTCTTTGAATTTATAGATTGCTATGGATAGAATTGTCATTTTCATAATACCTAGCCTTCCAATCCATGAACATGGCATATTCTTCCATTTCTCTAGGTCTCTCTCTTTTTTTTATTCTTGCAGTAATGTTTTGTAATTTTCTTGTCTAGTTTTTTAGTGTCTCTAGTTAGATTTGTTCCTAAGTATTTGATCTTGTATAGAGTTTATCTTTTAATATGACTTTTCTAACATTATTTGAATGTGGATGACTTACCATGTGGATGGGCAAAAATATGCAGATGGGGTGTCCTGGCTTATCCACAAAGGAGTTAGCCATCTACCATTTCAAAAGGGGATTGGCCAGTCTCAACAGTCTACAAGTGGATTGGCTAGTCTCACCAATAAATCGAACAGCTCTAGCCACAAAGATCGGATCTTCCCCTGTGAAGAAAGAGAAGAGAGACCTACCCATCCCAGTGAAAAAGAAGTAAGAAAATGTAGAATATGCTTTAAGACAGCAACAGCAGCAGCCATGGCTGAACTAGAGACCTGATGTGAGATAAGACCTGGTGGCAGGTGGAGATGGAAGCCAGTTTTGTCAGGACCAAGAACTTTGTCAGGCAGTTGGTGAGGGGGGCCAATATTGTCAGGACTGAGAACTTGGGAACAACTGGCCTGAAGGCTCAAGGCTGAGGTGCCTGCATGCACATTTTAGGCACTGTCTTGACTGTGTTATTAATCTGGATTATAATCTTTTTGCTTCCCCAATATGGTTCTGTGTGAACCATATTGCATCAGATTTTGAACCCAGCAAAGAATTGGTGTTAAGT